GGGGTGGGAGAGTCACGTTACAAGAGTGACGCGAGAAGACTGACATTAGGAATTATGATATGATATGATCCAAAACGCAACTTTTGTTAATAAAACTTTAATTTATTTGTTTAATAACCTATAAGTGATTGTCTTTGTTGCTGGGTTTTCATTAAAAAAATTAAAAAATAATGAACCTCAAACTGAGTATTCGTTTTAAATAAGGGAAAATACCTTATTTATTTGGGTTACAATGGCTATATCCATCTTATTCATTTTGTTAATACAAGGTAGATGTTCAATATATGCGAATTTGCCATTATACTATTTTATGGCTGATGTGTTTTAATAAGATAATAAACCACAAACTACGATCGTTTTAAGGTAGCCTAAGGGTAAATCCATAGGCTATTTATTTGTGTTAAACGCGGGTAAAACATATCCTTATTTATTTAGTTAATAAAAGTTCAAAGTTTAATATAGGTGAATTTGTCATTGTACTATTTTATTGTATAGCCTATGTTTTTTTTCTATTAATAGTAATGAGCCATAAGCATTCATTTAAAGTAAAGGAAAAATCCAAAAACCTTACATTTATTTGTGTTACAACGTGGGTACATCAGTCTTATTCAGTGGCGTAGCAAGTCAGCCCCGGGCCCATATGGAGCATTATGGGCTCCAACTCGGTTAACTTAAGTAAGTTATTGTTGAAATTTCGGAAGTAAATAAAGTTACGTGAATCGTGACTATTCACAAGCTGTTTTATTTAGGGTATAGCTTAATGCTTGGAAATTATGTTTAAAGTTTTCAAGTCCATTCATTATTTGTAGCACGCAAGCCACCCAATAATTGCAGCATTGTGCTTTGTTGCTACAAAGTCTCAGCCTTCTGTCAATTTTATGATAAAATACAAACAATAAACGTCTTTTTACGATCTTTGCCTGAGTTCAAGCTGCATATCAATTATATTTTCCTATTTATTATTTGCAGCACGAAATAAATTCGAAAATTTGAATGCATGTTGAAGAAAATCAGAACAATTTAATACAAACTAATTAAATTCGTTTTATGAATGGATCAATCAGAGTTTTAAAAAAAGTCAAAAGAATGACGGATGCCACAGACTTTTTTTTTTTGGAGGAGGAGTAGGCCTAGAGGAGAATTTTCACATTAACTTCACGCAATATAACATGATTTTATTATTGTAATCTTATTTATTTCGTTATTTTTAAACGTGGCACAAAAATGCTGCTGTATAGGCTACTGAATGCAAACACAATTTTGGCACAGCAGCCAAAAAAAAAGTTAAAAATAGTGAGGGGATATTTCAATTATTTGTTCATAAACTAATGTTTTCTGAGTCAATGTTGCAAAAATGTATTTGACGAACCTGACTCGCCAACTCCTCATTGGACGTGCCTTTAGAGAGAAATGCATCTTTATGGATTACATATTGAAAGAGTTTTTGTTTTCGATTTGAATTATTTCGTTTTAAAATAGTAATTTAAAGCATTCTATAGATATATTTATCATGTCGGTGAAGCGCTCCTGCTCAAGACCAAGACGACAGAAAGCACATCCTGTTTGTTTTCCTTATTTTACAAAACCACAAGGTTTTGTTGATATTGTGACTGCACACAAATACAAGTAGACCCTTTGCAGTTCCGAATGATGTAGCCTATACTCTTACCTTTATGAGCAAAAATGACGGCTTATTTTTAAGTTTCCACTGTTATAAAAAAAAATGCAAGTGATCGCGCTGGCTCCTCCATGGCCTGCAAAGCACGCTTTAGCTTCCACTCTCCGCACAAACAATTGGATATGCACCTAACAGCGCTCATTTATCTAGGTTAAATGTTTCAATTAATACTGTGAAATGAAATGCACAAAGTGTTTTATGTCTGTTTATTTTAGGTTGTGTTGGTCATGTTGGTTTGAGAAGGCTAAATTGATCAAACATAATGCTCAACTCCCTGCCTGCTGCTGCCGCTTGGTCGTTCCTTTAAAAAACAAAAACTTGAATTTAACAAACATAAAATGTTCCAAACATATTTCTAAATTAACTTAATAAAGAAACAAAAAGAAATATGACCACTTTGCCATTAAAAAACAAAACTGAACTATTTTAATAGCTGTGTAATGGGGAAGAGAGAGAGAGAGAACAAAGACAGACTCGGACCGAGAATTCTCATAAGCTGTTGGACAAGGGCCGGGCCCATGCAGGGCTCTATTCGTTCCCCCGTTTCAATTAAAAGTTCCCCCCAGCTCGGCGGGCCCCCAAACTGCCTGGGCCCATATGCACCTGCATACCCTGCATAGACGCTACACAGCTGGTCTTATTTGTTCTGTTCATAAAAGTTTTATTTTTAATATAAGCGACTTTGTCATTGTAGCATTGCTGATGTTGTGTGTGTGTGTTTCATTAAGAGTAATATTGAATCAACCTTAAGCATTAATTTTGTTTCAAGAATAGGAAAGACCTAAAGATCAAAATAAGCGCTACAGATGTGAGAATGTGAGATTTGTTGCTGCTGAGGTAGACGTTCTCGCTCTTTCTCTGCTGTCTGTAGAAATTTTTTTTGGGTACGGCAGAGACATGTTACAGGTTATAATATAATCAAAAAATCATGGCAACAAATAATTTTTAAGTCAGTTTAATAAGTTTAATCAGTTTAAACGACTTACACAGTCAATTTGATTCAACTTATGTCATATTTAACCGTTGCTTGTCATTGTAGGCTTAGGCTACTTTTTTCAATGAATTTTAATGAATATACTAATTA